GTAAACCTGTAATTTTTTACCATGTGAAAACTCATTAGCCATGCCACATGACGACCATTGAAGATTTATCAATTGTTCGGTCACTACTAAAATCCTTAGCTTCAGCAACATGGAAACATATTGCTGAAAGTGGTTTCCATGTTGCTGAAAGTCCTTCAGCAACATGGATTTGCTTGTTAAAAGCTTTGTTTAAGAAGGCTTGGTGGATAATACATCATCAACCAAAATCTTGTTGCTGATACATTAGCAACATAAGTTATATTGCTGAAAATATAGTATCAGCAACATAGCTTATGTTGCTGAAAATATTCACCGAAATCTGGTGAGAGTAGGGGTGAATTTTCTCAGCCTCTTCAGCAACATAAGCCACGTTGCTGAAGATAGGGTTTCAGCAACGTGGCTCATGTTGCTAAAAATTGAGAGAAATATGATTGGAAACCGGCACCGAAATTCTGCCTAATTTTCAGCAAGCAAAGTTATGTTGCTGATTTTCAACTTTTACCAAGAAAAACCATGTTGCTAATATTTATTTTTATACTTCCACCCACATTTTCAGCAACCTACCCATTGTTGCTAATGTTTACTCTAAATAGTATCAACCACATGTTTAGCAACATACTCTTTGTTGGTGATACATTAAAATAATTCATAAAAAAAAAAACTTACCAAAATTCTAAACACATATTTTTTTAATTTTTTGCAAGGGGAAAATGCCCCTTGTCTCCGCCTTACAACGAGGAATATTCTTCCTCGCTCCGTCCTTGTGACGGGGATCCCCGTAGGGCCCCGTGGGGATCGAGACAAATTGTCACCCCTAAGTAGAAGTAACCTATGCACTAAAGAAAATGGAGGTGCAGGAATCGAACCCCATGCATGTCTTATGCAAAGCAAGCGCTCTACCATATGAGCCATCTCCCCTTGTTATAATATTCGGTTAGTACTGGCATTATAATTATAGTTTTAAATTAGTGGAACAAAATTCTTAGTAATTATACATGCAAAAATTGTAGTTTTGCTTGTATGAAATGACATACTACATAACTTTAACCCCAGAACTTGAATGCTAGAACATCATTATTTTTTTTATTATTTTTTGATTTTTTAATTTATTTTATTAAATTAAAATTTGGAAAGATATGTTTGAAAATCAAACATAACTTTTGACAACCAAAAGATACCTCTATGAAATTGTGTTTTTCTGTAGGGATATATCCCTATAAATAGCGACTTTTCAGGCAATATAAATTCCTATGTCAAGTCAAAGTTTTACATCTAATTTCAGAGAGAGTTTTAAGTTACGTTATATTCTGGAGGATTTTGAATTTTTAAGAAAAGTAAAATCATGCCTCAGAGCATTCCTTTTATTCTTCTACTTTTTCATATCTTCTAACATGGTTCACTTTTCTTTGTCAAGCATCCTATATATGATATTCACCAAACATGGACTTTGATCTTAAGGTTTCATAATTCCAATATTAATTTGGAAATTGGGGTGTGCATCATGCATGAGGAAGTTGCATGGTCTTGGGAGTTTGTTCTCTGCTCACCACTCACTTACATGTTATGGATAGGTGAATTTGAGTTTAATATTTGTAAGGGCTCAAAAAGGAGCTTTGCAATCTAATTTGCCAAGCTTCTTAGTTTGAAATGGATTAACTTGAAAATTTGAAGGTAGACTTTTAATGTAGATATTCTAATATTTAAGTTAGTAATATCTTATTTAATGGTGAAAACAAAAAAAAAAGCTTAGAAGTCCAAAAAAGTATTTTGACATTGTCCTTCATAGAATATTTATAGGTTGAAGAATATGATTCATGTTATTTAAGATGAGCGATTTGCAAAGTAAAATGTAGTACATTCAAAATGATTTGTTAGAGAATGCATCTAGTGTTATGCATGCATACAAGTATGTTGTACATATGTAGGCTAGCGGTTGAAGTGTTGAGCTTGGCCTAATTTGCAATGAATTTAGACAATATCTTACAATTCAAGTCATTAATAACTTAGAAAGACTATTTAGACATATCTTCACAATACTTACCTCTTGTTTTGCTTTAGACTTGACTAATTAAGCTCAATTTGTTAATTTATTTTAGAAATTAGAAAAGGATTAAGGAAAATTGGAAGCTTATTTAATAATGTACATACATATTATACCAT